TCTTTCTAGAGTCCATCGTCAGAGATAAAAGGCGTAAACGAAAGACAAGCAAAAGTTATAGGACACAGGGGCCAGTAAACCGCTGATTGGCCCCTGAGTCCTATAACTGTTGCTTGTCTTTTATTTACGCCTTTTATCTCTGACGATGGACTCTAGAAAGAGCCCGAAAGCTCAGACGAGTAAAAGTAGGATTCCGGTGATCGCAACGTCTTCTACTGCCCCATCTACACACATACCTGGGATGCGAACATTTGCCTCAATTCGCATGGTCGTTTGCTGTCAACTTCCTCAAACCCATTCTCCACTGTCTCTGCGCATCCTCTCGTCTAGCGTCTCGCTTCTTCTCCTTCCAAATGGAACCGGGCTCGACGATCGCAGCGATGCTGCAAAAACTGCGGGGGAGATCAATGCGAAGCAGATATCTTGACCACGGCTGCTCAACCTTCTAACTGTCCCTAAGAGGACGGTAATTAACCCGTGTGACCGGTAGGTGTCCACTTAAAGTTACGATTTACATCCTACGATAAGTTATTAAGAACAACACGATTAAAAAAGAGAAGTCGAATTTCTCAGGTAAAAAATAATCTCAACAAAGCGTTGTAATCGGGAAAAGAGGAAGTTTGATAGTTTTACATCTAAAAAGGATTCGCAAAGAAAAGGGAAATGTCTCGGGTAAAAAAATCTCAGCAATTGTGTTGTCGATGAACAAGAAAGTCTGATAGTCGCATATCTACAAGCGGCCTGAACTAAGGCCGCCCGAAAAATGGCTTTAAGCGCATACATACACGGATTACCTCCGGCCCTCGAGTAGCTTATCCACAAACGCAATAATCCGCACGTAATTTGCTGTCATCTGACAGAAAGAATTCTCCGTAAGGCAAGGGGTCTGGTCCTTTCCACCTCCCTCCAGCAGTCGGGGAAAGATGACCTCACGGACTTCCTTCTGCCGCTGGCAATCCGGCAGCTGACTCAATCGAAGAGCCAGTCTGTGTGCTAGGCGTCCGGAAGGAAAGCAGAGCATGATCTGATCAAGTGAACCAAAATCAATTGGCTCCTTTGAGGCCATGGCGGTAGTGAGGACCGCAACTAGCGTGATTAGCGTCCAATACGCTATCTGCAGCTGGGCGTAAGTGTGAATGTATGCGAAGTTAAGACAAGACTCCTCGG